CACCCCGGCTACAATATCCATGAGCACCATCAATGAAACACTGATAATAATAATACTAAGGGTAAAATGACTCTCTTACCCCTGGTCCATGTTAACCTAATTGTCAAAGTCAACATTCAGTTGACCTAACTCGTCGAGTTGGGCTGCCAACTCGTCGAGTCCTTACTCTTACTTCCTTGATTCCACTAGCTACTACTCGTCGAGTTTTGGCACAAACTCGGCGAGTTCCTCTTCGGTACTATCACTCCGACAATCTGCATCCGACTCGCCGAGTTGTATGAACAACTCGTCTAGTTCTTCTTCATCAGATGATCATTCTAGCTATGACTCGCTGAGTTGTATGAACAACTCGTCGAGTCTGTTCTTGAAGTATGAAGATGGCCTTGGACTCGCCGAGTCAGGTCATTGACTCGCCGAGTTCTTCCACGAATAAGTCTAACCCTCTAGCTCACTGAGTCCACCTTTCACTCACTGGTTCCACTCGGCATAACTCGAAAAAAGGAAACACAGGGGACTCGCGACTCGACTCGCCGAGTCATAAGAATGAATCGTCGACTCGTATGCATGCAAATACTATACACTCGATTCTACTTGAAACTAGTCCATGTCATTAATAGATCTGGGTTCCTGGGACTTGATTTACACGTAAAGTTTCCAACTTTACGTGTAAATAACATCAAATGAAGGTTTTCAGGTTAAGAGCACACTATAATAGTAGATCTAGAGCTTTTATATAAAAAAGGATCCATAAAGGTGCTAGATCTAAGCTCCTGGAAATCAAATCTATCTAGATCTGAAGATTTATCAACTCCATGAGTCCTCTATGTTACTACTAAGCTAAGAAACGGTTCAAGAATGGCTTCACAAAGGAGATTTAAGCATAGAAACAGAAAAGGGCCAAGATATACCTTACTTTCTTCTGAAATTCCTCAAGGATCTAGGATCTCCTTCTTCTCTACTTGATCTACCTTCCTTTATCTCTCAAAATCTTCAAAGAACACACCAAAATCACACAAAAATGCCAAGAGGGATCTAGGGTTCGAGTATGATGCTCTGAAGGGTGATAGGGGCTGACTTGAGGCCCCAAAATTTGTTTATATAGGGTGCAAACCCTTGAAATTAGGGTTTCATCTAGACTGGCAGACTCGCAGAGTCCGGAATATGGACTCACCGAATCGCCAACTTAAACGTACTCGAAATCGCGACCCTACTCGACGAGTCCAGCTACTAAATCGCCTAGTTACCCTTAAAACTTGAAGAAATATAACAATAAATAACAATATAAATATCATACCAGAATTGGGGTGTTACACCGTCTTCCATGTGTCCAATCTTAAAAAGTGTTTATCCGACGAAACCCTTGTGATCCCGCTCGATGAAATCAAGATCAACGAGAATCTTAACTTCATGGAAGAACCAATCGAAATCATGGATTGGGAAGTCAAACGAAAGAAACAAAGTCACATACCGATAGTGAAGGTTCACTAGAATGCCAAGCGGGGACCTGAATTCCCTTGGGAGCGAGAAGAACAAATGCAACAGAAGTACCCGTATCTTTTTCCTAGTCCATGATTGTATTCTATGAGTAAAATTTCGGGACGAAATTCCCTCTATCGGGGGATGATGTGACAACTCGACACTTTTTCAGTCAACAAAAGTCAATATCCTTTAAATAAAATGTTGAATTTTATTTATTCCGTTAAGCTCGTAAGGGTTAGAAAACCATTTAAATTATGTAAATAAAATTTATATAAGTGTCGGAACCAAAATCACTCAAAAAATCAAGTTTTCCCTCGAAAAACAACAGATAACTCATACAACCCTCGTTTTCGGCCGAAAACCCTCTGGCCAAAAATAGTTCTCGGTCAAGATCCCATCTCCAACCGAATACCCAACCGATATATAGGTTTTAATCTAAAACCTTGTTCATTTTTCACTATTTCCACCCGAAAACTCTCTCAATTCTCTCCCAATGATCATCCAAGAACACCCTCATCTTCAAGAAGGATCCTTCAAATCTTCATGTTTTTCCTCAAGAACACGAAGAACACCAAGAACAACCTTTATATCTTCAAGGGCCGAAAACTCTAGCAGAACTAAATCCTGATTTCGGCCGAAAACGTGTGTTCGGCGAAAACCCAGTTTGCGTCCGAAAACTGCTTTGAACCGAGAACTTTGGCCGAAAACCCTCCTTTCTCACTTCAAACAAGCCTTGGTAATATTCTTAACACAAAAACAAGTGTTTTCTAACACTTTAATTAATGGTTTCTCTAATTCAAATACAATTATGTGTTTAATTATCATTAGGATACCGTTAATTCTGCGTACTCCAACTCGAGGGTCATCTTTCCAGTTTCGCTGTCAAGCACGTGCACATAACCAACTGTGAGTTCATACCCCTACACTTTAACTATTTTTAACGTTTTCAGGGGGGATACAAGCAAAATACAAATAATTTTTGTGTTCTTATACAAAGGATTTCAACAGAATTAAAACTTATGCAATTAATACAACCAAGAGATCACTACATTTTATAAAATATTTAGATATTTTATCCCTTTTGTAACATGCTGAGCATAAGGGAAGTTTTCAACATACAACCATAATTGCAAAGTTTTCAGTACAATACGTGAATCGAGTACATAACATACATGCAAACTATAATAGATATAGTTTGGGATTTCAACACTCGGTTTTACCAATTCAAGATTCTATTCATTAACAAACATATAAACTATGATATATATATATATATATATATATATATATATATATATATATATATATATATATATAGTGTATGGTATACAATATTATTTTCTGAATACAAGAGTAAAATACTAAATAATTATTTAATTATAATTATGTTTACTCTACAAGTCATACATATAGTTTCAAGTACAAGAGAACGCTACAACACTACACGTAAACTAGTTAATAGATGGTTGTGAGACACTACTTCAATTGTACCCTTCGAGGTGCGGAACTAAATCCTACCACAATATAACCAGAGTCTCCTGGAGGGAGATCATGAGATTTGTGTGTAGATCTACAGGGACTGACAATCACACACCTGAACTGCTAGCTACAGTTAGGCAAGCATGCCTGGGGTGACAAATATTATACCGGTTCGACGCTTGAAGAACGTCGTAGAGATCACTAGGTCATGTCAAGCATGGTTATACCAAACTCACAAAGGTATAAACTAACCATTTGTTTACATGATTTCATTCTTCATTAGTTTTATTTTAATTAATAGACTACCACACACTATACTGGAGGATACCAGGGAATACAAACTCATGGTTTTATTTTAAATAATAAAACTACTATACACTACTGGTGGTAGCCAGGATTTTCATACAAAAGGTTTCGTACAAAACAACACTATACAATACAACTAGTGGTAACCATGCATACAAACTAACACTTTCATATACTACTACGGAATACAGTAACGAACACACATTTTGGTCTTAAGGTTTAAGACTACTTTTCATTACTAAAGAAAATATTGGATTTTCTTGAGAAACATACAAACATTTTCACAGATTCAATGGCATGTTTTCATTACAAAAGCATTTTTATGAACTCACCAAATTAATTATTGATACACTTTCAAAATCGTTTGTATTCTCAGGAAATCAGTAGACATGCTTTTGAGAAAAAGGAACTCATAGAGTCGCGTCTTTCACACTTTTGTTATACTTTTGCTACATAGATATTATGTATCAAACAGATGTAAATACCTTATATATTCAATGTAATTGTTGTGTTTACTTTGATTATTATGATGCAATTGTCATGATACTGTACATGACGCCCTCCACCACCGAACGTTTCCGACGTCTCGGTTTGGGGCTGTGGCATACCATTACATAATCATTAATACATAAGCTTCATAATGAACACAAAATACCAATATACTCTCTACCATTACACAAACCTAATATATAAGCTTAACAATGAAGATAAGAACCAATACAACAACCATTGCAAGAAATATAATCTTCAATTCTTTCACTTCTTTCCTAACAACTACACATCATCTGCAATTTTTAAAAGAGTATCTTCTACATTAGGCTTTACATTTACAGGCTCTTCATGAATCAATTCCCAAACTTTGCACTTTTTTCTTGGTTTCTTTAGTAATGAAAACAACAATCAATAAGGCAAGAAAGAGAAATTAAATGCAAAATTGATGCATTTGGACAAATAAAATAAAAATCAGTAATTACCAATGAGTTAGGGCACCTTCTAAATTTCTTTATGGGGTTATCTTTGGTCTTTGAGGTATGGACTTATATAGGGAGTAAACAATCACAAAGGATTTTGTTATCTACTTTGTAATTGCTTGAACCGTTGAAGATCCTTGAGCCAGTCGACATTCGTCTTCTTCTTCTAGGGCAAAATCACGATTCCTTCTGGTCTCTTGTTTAAACACCCGTTTATAAGCCTTGACTAAGCCTCGCCGCCACGTAATTGTTATTACTGCCACATGTGCTTCCACATTAACAAAATCTATAGAATCCAGTCGAAAGGATTTAATGCATACATATTCAAAATCTTATTTAAAAAAACAAAAAAAAATTAAATGTATACAACCCTATTAAATCATTTCCTTTTTATTAATCACTAATTAACTTTTTAGATTAGTTATTAATGTCAGTTAAAATTTTCAACAATGTATACTTGCGACTCTTTTCTTATTATTCCATGTAGAATGTAGAATTAACGATTTAATCTTCAATCGGTATTACTTGTTTATGCGACCAGATTCATTGGATCATAAGCCACGACAATACGACAACACATGGATCATCTTCATTTTCAGGACACTTTCGCCACATATAGCCTCTAAAAATCCAACGTGTACACTATGCATAACATTAAAACAGAACAAAACTGCCACCATTTTCATTACGTGTCAAATCCTCACACTCCACACCCACTATAAATCCAAACCCAACCTCTTCGCCACTTCACACCACAATTCAACAATGAGTTTCCGACTTCTTTCTCTTGGTCTTTGCTTTCTAGTGCTCTTTCATGGCGGTTTGGCTCAGATACAGCCACCCCGGAAACAACAGACACGTCTAAGTGGACGCTCTGAATGCCAGATCGACAGAATCACCGCTAGAGAACCCAACCGCGTTGTGGAATCGGAGGCCGGAGTGTCTGAGTTCTGGATCCCCGAGGAGAACGACGAACTCGAGTGCGCCGGCGTAGAAGCAGTTCGTCATACTATTAACCCTAAAGGGCTTCTCTTGCCATACTACCCAAGTGCACCGGAGCTTGCCTATGTCGTCAGAGGTACTCTTTGTATTGTACATCGTGCATTGTAACTTGTACATAAGGTCACTGATTCACTTTGCTAATGTATATGTAACAGGCGAAGGTATTCAGGGAACTGTGCTTCCAGGGTGCCCGGAAACATTTGAGACATCGTTTCCTTCGGAGGGTGGAAAAGGAGAGTTTTTTGACAAGCACCAGAAGGTTTACCGATACAAAGAAGGTGATATATTAGCGTTGCCTGCCGGAGTAGTTCACTGGACCTACAACGACGGCGACAGACCCATTGTCACGATTGTTCTTCGTGATACAAGCAATGTGGCTAACCAGCTCGATCGAACCTTCAGGGTAATTTTGTTTAATTAACATCATTTCTTAAACGTTTTTGTGATTAGAGATTCATATAAACGTTTTTATGATCAGAAATTCTTCCTCGCCGGAAACTCACAAAATCAACAAGGACAACAAGGAGGCCGTGGCCAACAACAGCGCGGCCAGGAAACCAGGTGGGAGGTGCCGTCAGAAGGCCGCACACAGGGTGGCAAGAGACGGGATGATCCTCGCCGTGCTGAAGGTGGCCGGAGAAGGGGACAACAAGGACAAGAAGGCTCTAATATCTTCAATGGTTTCGACGACCAGATCCTTCAGGAGGTGTTTAATGTTAACTACGAGACTGTGAGGCAACTAAAGGGACAAAACGACAACCGTGGATTCATCGTTCAAGCTGATAATTTCAGAGTCATCACCCCAGAAAAGCAAGAACAAGGACGAGAACGACAACGATCATCACCTTCACGAGGAAAAAGTGGTCGTCGTGGTGGTGGAGTCGCCAACGGCTTTGATGAAACCTTATGCTCCGCCCAGTTGAGCGCCAACCTTGCCAACCCAACCCATGCCGACGTGTACAACCCACGTGGCGGACGCGTCAGCAGTCTCAACAGCCACAAATTCCCTGTCCTCGACTTGCTTCAACTTAGCGCCGAGAGAGGAATCCTTTACAAGGTAAACTATATGGTGTCTTCAAAGAACTAAAATCAAATGAAATATAGAATTAAAATCGTATTATAACTTGCTATTTTTACGTGTAGAATGCTATTCATGCACCATACTACAACTTAAACGCCCACAGTGTAATCTACGTGACAAGTGGAAGCAGCCGTCTGCAAATCGTGAAAAACGATGGGTCAGCCGTGTTTGACGACTGGGTTCGCGAGGGTCAACTGATCGTGGTGCCACAGAACTTTGCGGTGGTGAAGAAGGCCGGCGAGGAAGGATGCGAGTGGGTGGCGTTCAAGACAAATGACAATGCGATAACGAGCCAGTTGGCCGGACGTTTCTCGTTTGTGAGGGCACTACCAGAGGAGGTGTTGGTGAACTCGTATGATATTTCACGAGAGCAAGCTAAGAGTTTGAAGTATAACAGGCAAGAAGCTGTTGTTTTGAGTCCGAGGTCGACGAGTCCGAGAGAAACAGCGAAGAATGCTTTGTTGAATGTTCTTTTTGGTTAGATGAAATTTGGAAGTTTTCACTTTTCATGTATGAAATGGTAAAATAAGAGAAGGTCGACTCAGAGGAAAGTAGGGATCGTTGTGCAATATGTATCCTTTACCGATAAATAATGAATTTTCTTTTGTGCCTCAATCGATCTAAGAATAAAAAACATGGATATATGAGTGATTAATAAAGAATTTCAAATTGGTCTAATCCAATTCTGATATTTCAAAAACATATAATTAAAAAAAGGAAAAAGATAAACAAACATTTCTTCAAATTTTTCTCCTTAACAAACATGTGACAATAAAGGAACACATATGATGCGGATTTAATCAATAAATATCGAGTAAATAGTTAAAAGGGGGCCAAATGAGCGCGCCAAAATCGGTTCCATTTTTGTTGACCTGCAAACGTTTCCCTATACTTTCGATACCTTCTTCAACCTCTCTCTCCCCTTCCATTATTGTTTTCTCGCATTCTGGTTTGTTGAATCTCCGCAAAAGTAAGCAAATGTTCTGCATTAAATCGGCACACATTTTCCATATAACGATTCTGGCCTTCTGAAAATTAATGATCGCTGTTATTCCCAATGTCGGATCGAAGATTTTAAGCAATTGCTGAAGAAGCCAAAGAAACGGGAAGAAGGAGAAGATTGGATTGCGATTATCTATGAAGACTATCATTCTTATGGTACAATTGGAAGGGTTTCAGATGAAATGACAGATGCTGTTAATTGTGGCTTATCCGGAGCATGATATTGAGCAGGTTTGTTTTTTCCTCCTCTCACTCAGGATTTAACACATTACACACATGAATTTTTAATCCTTTCGCGAAAATTAGTTCCATTTAATGTTATATGTTTGAGAACATAGAAAAATTGAGTAATTGGCAATTATTACATATGTGCTATATGCCTGCAAATTAATCGGTTTGTTTTATATCTTTTGGAAAGAGCAAAAGGAAAACATGTTCTACATTGAAGATTAGAGTTCCTCAATATGTGCTGTTGATATTCAAATGGATTGAACAAAAACATAACTAAGTCACCACTTGTAATATTTTAGGCCTTGCTAGTAATCTGTCTAAACTATCATCATTTATGATACTAGACAAATTTTGTGACACACTTTAAAAACTATTATGACATTTTAGTGTAGAAAGGCACTTTGAGAGAGGATGAGGAACTTTTTTTAGCTCCTAATGTGTACATTTTGTTTATGTTTGTGGGTGATGGCAATGTGGAAGCTTACTTTGATATTTCTTAATGTAGCTATTTTTTGGACCATGAACTTGTCTTTAAAATCCAAACAAAGATAAAGTATACAACTTCATTAGTCCATATATGCCCTAAAAAAACTATAAAAACTCTAGGTGTAAATACAAGAAATAGTAACATACTGAATTGTTCAGGATATTATAGTATCTTGCTTTCAATTCTTCCTACAACATATTGTATGTTCTATTTCTATCTTATAACAATATCATTCAAATACAAAGCAACTTTGATTGCTACAAAAAAGTAAAATATTAAAATTGATGCGTTTATAAGAACAAATTAGTAACATAATACTTGGTTTTCTTGGGTGTATACATTTACAACCTTCTAATTAATCTTTTAAATTTACCAGTTTCTAAATGCCAAATCTTGATCCACAAACATGCAATTAAGAACAAGTGGTGCAGCAGATGGTTTCAGAATCAGCGTTTCAAGCACTCCCAGTTGTTCAAATCACAATTCTGGCCACGATGACATAGAATCACTAGGAGACGTTTTCATTTGGGGAGAAGTTTGGTCTGACGTGGCATCCACCGATGGATCCATAAACACTTTCCAATCAAAAAGTGACGTCACCATCCCTAGGCTCCTAGAGTCAAACGTAGTCATAGACGTCCAACAAATCGCTTGTGGTGTTCGCCATTTGTCCCTCGTTACAAAACAAGGCGAGGTTTTCACTTGGGGGGAGGAATCCGGCGGCCGGCTTGGCCACGGAACGGAAAAAGACTTCCGCCGGCCACATCTTGTGGAGTTTCTCGCAGTTACTAATGTCGATTATGTCGCGTGTGGTGAGTTTCATACGTGTGCTATAACGAACGCCGGAGATTTATACACCTGGGGTGACGGGTTACATAACGCCGGTCTCCTCGGTCATGGCACCGACGCCAGCCATTGGATTCCGAAACGGGTCTCCGGTCCTTTGGAAGGACTTCTGGTGTTCTCCGTCGCGTGTAGCACATGGCATACGGCGCTCTCAACCGTCGACGGGAGGCTATTTACGTTCGGCGATGGAAGGTTTGGGGTTTTAGGGCACGGAGATCGGGAAAGTGTAAAGTATCCAAAAGAGGTCCAATCGTTAAACGGGTTGAAAACATTGAAAGTCGCGTGTGGAGTGTGGCATACGGCGGCGATTGTCGAGGTCACAAATCAACAAGGCGGACTTTCGACTTCCCGGAAGCTGTTTACGTGGGGTGACGGCGATAAATTCCGATTAGGTCATGGCGATAAGACAACGTACTTACAACCAACTTGTATTTCATCTCTTATGGATTACAACTTCCATCAACTAGCATGTGGCCACACGATGACATTAGCCCTCACAACCTCCGGCCATGTCTTCGCCATGGGTAGTCCGGCGTACGGCCAACTCGGAAACCCACAATCCGACGGAAAAAAACCGGCGTTAGTACAAGACGGATTAGTCGGCGAATTCGTCGAAGAAATTTCATGTGGGGCCTACCATTGTGCGGTTTTAACATCAAGAAGTGAAATCTTCACATGGGGAATGGGAGCAAACGGAAGATTAGGCCATGGGGACTACGAAGATCGGAAAACTCCAACTTTAGTCGAATCGTTAAAAGATCGACACGTGAAAAGCATTTCTTGTGGCGCAAGTTACACCACGAGTATTTGCATCCACAAATGGGTTTCCGGCGCCGATCAATCAGTTTGTTCGGGATGTAAACAAGCGTTTGGATTCACTCGAAAGAGACATAATTGTTACAACTGTGGGAATTTTCATTGCCATGGCTGCAGTTCACGAAAAGCGATCAAAGCCGCATTGGCGCCAATTCCGGGAAAACCCCACCGTGTTTGCGACTCCTGTTACGCGAAATTAAAGAAATCCGGTGAAATCGGGAATATTAACAACAACAACGTCTCCACTTTTCACCGGAAATTTAGCACACAACCCGCACAAGGGCAACAAGGGCGGACTTCAAGGCTTTTAATGTCTCCAAATATCGAACCAGTTAAATATCTTGAAATCATGTCCGCTATGTATGGACCAAAATCAGGTAATTGTTCATCTGTAAGACGTTCACAAGTTCCATCTTCACAGCAATTGAAGGATATTGCTTTTCCGAGTTCATTGGGGGCGCTTTCAAATGCCTTGAGACCTGTTTCTGGCCCGACGACGATTCAGCCACAATTTCTGCCGCCACCGCAGCCACCGCCTCAGCCGATGTCGGCGGCTTCAAGGCCGGCTTCTCCTTTCGCGAGGCGGCCGAGTCCGCCGTGTTCCAGTGGCTCTCCGATGTTCTCGAGGGGTGTGATTGATAGTTTGAAGAAGTCTAATGAGCTTTTGAATCATGAAGTCACCAAGTTACATAATCAGGTAGCGATTTTTGCTATTTCTTCCAATTTAGCCCAATGGCTTTTTCATACTTTTTGTGAAATTGTAGGTGAAAACTTTAAAGAAGAAGACTGATCGGCAAGAAGCAGAAATTCTGAAATTGAGAACTAAGGCTGAACAGTCTGCTGCCTTGGCTTCAGATGAAAGTGCTAAGTGTCTTGTTGCTGTGGATGTCTTCAAATGTGTCAAATCTCAGGTAATTACTAATACCATAAAATAGCAATATACTCATTGTACTTTAAATGAGGACTAAAATAGCAAAAATCAGACACACTCAAGGACCGAAAATGTAATTTCCTCTTTTTTTATATTATAATGCAACCTAGATTTTCGGGGTGCTGTGGTATTGCAAATTGACATAGAAGCTTATTGTTTTACTGTGTTATTTAATGTTTTCAATAACGTAATAATATAATAATGTTTTTTTTTTTATAATGTAATAATGTTAGTGAGCTTGTTGTTTTATATGTCAGCTAAAAGATTTATCGGAGAAGCTGCCTCCAGAACTATCTGAAGATGAAGCATTCAAATCAATAAGTAGTAAAGTGAATGAGTTTTTGCAATCAGACGTTACTTCATCGAAAAGAATCAGAAGCAGAAAGTATGTTGATGAGAATAATGGATCTTCTTCTTCTGGTCAAACCACAGAATCCACAAGTCAAACAAGCAGACAAGGCAGCTCGAGACTACCCAGGTATCCAAGTAGGAGGGAGGAAAAGAAAGAATTGATTGAACAATTTGAACCTGGTGTTTATGTTACTCTCATTCAGCTCTCAAATGGCACCAAAATATTTAAGCGAGTTAGATTCAGGTACTTAGTTTTCTTCATTTGTTTTTGTATTGTTACAACGTCCTACTTTCAATAAAATACATAATTTATGTCGGGTTCATGAAAAATTAAAGATGATATAAAGACTTGCTCTCAATCTACATTCTGTACAAAAGATGTGAATACCCTCTTGGTCTTAGTCATAAAAAATAGTCCTAGAAAGTTTGACCAAGTCAAAACAGTTTTTGTACTGTGTTTGGCATGCACTGATGTCAATGGGACAAAAATTGTCCCAGAAAGGTGGGACAAAGACTGATATGTTGTGCAAAAGACATAAATATATACTTAAGTGTTATGCAAGATCTTGATAACCTTTTTTTGTTTTAAAAAAATATGGCAGCAAAAGGAAGTTTGTGGCGGAGCAGGCGGAAGGATGGTGGAAGGAAAACAAAGAAAGGGTGTTCAAGAAATATAGTCCGGGAAGGCCAAGCAACCGTCCAACTACTTCTAAGGCTCAGCCGCCTCCACCTAATCAGGAACCATCCACATCAACTTAGCTCACTTTCTTTTATCTTATATAACCCACTTAACAAAATGCGAAAATATTATTTGTTGT